TTTCCCTACTGCAGGTTATAAGACCCTTAAGGGAGAGGTTCTCTCTCTGTATCCAGAAGAAAGAGTCATCTCTGAAGACACGAGGGCACAGAGAAGAATATAAACAAACAGACTGCTAAGTAGCCCCAGTTTATTACCCTTAGATCATATCCTTTTTAGACCTTTCATGTCATTCCATGACTGGGCACTTTTCATCATACCTACTATGAAAAACACTCAGGCTTAACTGTCCCTTCGAGTCTTCATTTCCTTATGAAGTCTCCTGAGTCATGTAAAACTTAAATAAACATGTTAATCTGACTTTTAGCTATAGGGGCCTCAGCCATGAACCTAAAATGGGTGAAGGAAAAGATATTTTTTCTTCCCTTCGGTAAACAAGGTGGTCTTATTAGCAAATAGATTTTTGTAGATTTTATACAAAATGGGAACAAGAATAGCAGTTTTCTATAGCAACAATAAAAGTCAAAGAGTAGAATGAAATGTTGACAATACATTGCTAACTTTTAGCTATAGGGGCCTCAGCCATGAACCTAAAATGGGTGAAGGAAAAGATATTTTTTCTTCCCTTCGGTAAACAAGGTGGTCTTATTAGCAAATAGATTTTTGTAGATTTTATACAAAATGGGAACAAGAATAGCAGTTTTCTATAGCAACAATAAAAGTCAAAGAGTAGAATGAAATGTTGACAATACATTGCTAATTTATTTAAATATAAATTATATATATTTAAAAACTCTCTCTGAACAGTCTCAATAAAAGCTTATGTATTGAGGCCAGCAGTCGGTGTAATGTCTATGTCGCTGGACTCCCATGTAGTTGACCCTGGTTTGAGTCCCAGACCCAGTGGCTTAAACTCACTCCGGGTGCATGTGCGTGCATGCCCAAAATTCCAAGAGGAGAATGGAGGAGAAGGGATTGCGGTGTGACCACCTCCCTGGGGGTGATTTCTTCCTTTCTGTCTCTCTGTCTCTGTCTTTCTGGCAAGCACATGTGCCCTATAGAAAAAAATTCTCAAAAAAAAAATCTGTATATTATGCTGACATACTAACCTATATTATATATTAGATTTTACAGTAAGATTATCCAAGACCCTTTTTTAAACCTAAATCAGAATTATTTAAAGCCACTTTTAGGCTAACTAAATGCAAAGTTTGGAGATAGTTTTTATA